ATCATTTGAACCCCTTCACATTTAGAATATTACCTCTACATCTCATGACATTTGTACACGTGTAAACATAACCACTTTTCGTTGATATCTATTAATATAATCGTTAAAAAATATGATTTTATCCTAATAAAAAATTATAATTTCATATTACCCTTTATTTTGTGGATTCGATATACTCTAAAGTTCAAAATCAAGCTTACCATTTGAATGTCTAATAGAATGTAGATATTTATAAAAAGGAAAATATGAAAAATATTATATAAATATCTACATTTTATTAGACATTCAAATGGTAAGCTTGATTTTGAACTTTAGAGTATATTGGACCCATAAAATAAGGGTAATATGAAATTATAATTTTTTATTAGGATAAAATTATATTTTTTAACGGTTATATTAACAGATATCAATGAAAATGGGTTACATGTTATACGTGCATAAAATGTCATGAGATGTAGGAGTAATATTCTAAATGTAAAGAAGTCCAAATGATTAAGTGACAAACATGAGAGGATCTAAGTATAATTTTTCAATTTAGTTTTAGATGCATATTGATACAAATTTCTATATTTGAGAGTGCAAATTGAGATTTTTTATCTTTGCGGTGCACATTGATATAAATTTCTATCTTTAAGGGTGCAAATTGAGATTTTTTATCAATGGGGGTGCACATTGATACAAATTTCTATCTTTGAGGGTGCAAATTGAGATTTTTGATCTTTGGGGGTGCATATTGATACAAATTTCTATCTTTGAGGGTGCAAATTAAGATTTTTGCTCTTTGAGAGTGCAAATTGAGATTCGAACTATCTTTCGGGGTGTAAAATGAGATTAATCCTAAGTTATTATTATTTTTTTTCTATAGGGTATTTAAGTTTGTACCAACTATTTTTTCGAGTTCATTGTGGCATGGCATGAGCTGAGATAGAGCATATTCATGAGGAATAAGAGTCGTTAATCCTTGGGGGGTGTAAGAAAAAATTAAACCTAAGACCTCTAGATTATCAAAGGTCAAACTCAACTAATGAACCATCTTTAAAGTCAATCATATATTATTCACTGTGTGGCATGCAATTATGGTTTTTTTTTTCTTTTGATACTTATAAAAGGGTTAAGTGCAAAAGAGAGCATTTAAAGATCATTCCGATAAGTCTTCACTGATGAGATCACGAGGTCTCTGACTGCACTCGTTACTTTTTTCGGGAACAAACTTAACTAGCCTAATTTATAAATGAACCATTAAACCTAATGTAAACTCCAAAACTCAAACTTTTAATTTGACTGTGAGAAGTTAGATTGTTGCTCTACTAAACCACGCCCACTCGATGGTTGATACGTCGTGTATAAGGCTCTCTGTCTCTATGTTAGGAAGAGATATCAGGCATAACGGAAAGGGGGAAAAAAAAAAAAACAATCATTGCATGTCGATGGTTTGTCTTGTTATAAGATTTTGAGAGAGTAGATATATTTATTTTTTTTTTGTATATTATGGTAATTTGTACCTATAGACTCAACGTAACATAAGTGAGAAATTATAGATTTGAAGAAAAAAAATTCAATGTGAATGATCTTAAAAGGAATATTAGTAGTAGTTGGATGAGTCTATTTAAAACTGTCGGAGAAGTATATTAAGATCTATTTCATTTTATAAAACAATTTTATAAGTACAATACAAGTTATTTATATCTAATTTAGGACCTAATGCACTGGTGATAGTAGAGTTCATTCAATATTATGACTTCTTGTTTATTCAATGATCAAATACATAGTGTATTTAAATTGAAAACTTTAAATTAAATGTAAACAATTATACTAAAACAATTAGGAGAAAGAGAGAGAGAAGACAGTTTCATATGCAATAATTATATGATATAATAAAAGCCGATGAGGAAATCCTAACAAGATTTGGGAGTTTCCATCTTTGTCCATAAGTGGCCTTGTTAACACGGACGGAGTTAGGATTTTACCATCGAAGGGTTCAAACTTTATACACAAAAAATCATACCACATAGTAGATTTATATTTTAAATTTTAATTAAATTTTCAATGCACAAAAATAGAAAAAAGCCTAAATATGATATTTTATATAAACAAAAATACTAAGAAAGGAAGAAAATGAACAAAATAAATAATTTTTTAATGCATATCAGAAGATTCTTTTTGTCAAAATTGTGCTCGAAATTCTTTTCTATCATAAAATTAATTATGATCGACATATTACGGCTTTTCTATAAGAGGGTCTTTCTCTATAACTTTATTCAGTGAACGAAGAAATGGGAATTAGGAGTAATTTGAAATGATAAAATTATTTTGTTAAGTTTCCATTCCATATATTAAAGAAAAAATTGAAGTGGTTGACAAATTTTACTGTAGATGTATACTAGAGACCAATCCTCTTGAGATGACAAAACTCTCTTTGTCCTGGATATACAGTGGGGGCTTCAAAAACACAGTGGGGGCCATGGGCATCCCTGGCCATTGAATAGCTCCGTCGTCACTGCTTACTATGCCCTCGTGGTGCACGAGTTCACGAGTTCCTTAAAAAAAAAAAAAGATTGAAATTCAATAAAAAACTGAATATCATGTCTGTTCCTCCTCCTACTAAGTTTGCTCAGGTCTCAAAGCACCATTGATGTAATATGGAGTGTGTTATGCCATGCCTAAGGGGTGCAATTTGAAAGGGCTAATCCGAGACTAACTCCAAAAATTCAATGCTTAGGCAAACATGTTCAATATTCACGTTGGCAGTGGCAAAGTTAGAAATATATTTTAGGGTGGGCATACTCTAACTATATGTTTTACTTTGTCCTTTAATAGGTAAAAATAATGTAATATATTTTTATTTTTTACATCATATTTGATACTTAAAGATTGATTAGACATAGATGGATCAAAAACAAGTCTACAATGTTTACACAAACAAAAAAATTACTAAAAAGAGGTTAATTATAACCCTTTACAAAAATAAGATTAATTATATAAGAGATGTGATCAAAATATCAATGTCAAAGTCACAACTAATAATATCAATACCGAAATTTGAAAGTTATGGTGTGCGACACTTCATCGATTTTTAGGGCTTAGTTTGATTTAATGCTTTTGGAGAGAACTTGAGAATGAAGTGGGCCATACATTTTTATTTGTCTTATTTTTTTTTAATTGTTGACTCTAAGAGATTCTATAGCCCATTCTATTTTTATTACAATCAATTAACCAAAAAATTTATTCTCTCAATTAACCCAATTTTGTCGGACTGAGAGCTACTTCTTTGAATGTTTGGGGAATAATTTGGTCTTATTAACATCCATGTTCTATGGGGTGTGTTGAATATTTGTTGTTGGTTTTCTAATTATGTTTGACAAGCTTTGGTTGTTTGGATAATGAATTTAGGTTTCTTGAATTTTTTGGTGAATTTTATTTTTATGATTTTTGTCAGAACATGCTCATTGATTTGATTAAATGGTTTGATTGTTGCTTTGCGTTGCACATGCCTCATGCCTCACTGATTTTTTTTGTTGCAGCCCGAATTATCTAATTTGATTTTAACGCAGAGTTTAAAAAATTCAACTTAGACAATTCTAGAGTTGAGTAATCCGGGTTGAAGGTCAAATTGTGTTAATTTTACTGCTTGGTTTGACCCCTAAAACTACTCAATGCGCCTTTGTTGTACCCTTAAATTTGACGGATTAGAGTAAATTTTGAAAACCGGCTGAGTCTACCCAATAAATTTTGATACCACATAATTTACAAGCTATTGGGTTGTCAAGCAGCGTTGGACAAAAGTGGTGTTGTGTTTGGTCACCGAGTTTGTCCAGGTTTCCGATGAACGGCAATGGCGCCGGTCCGGAGGAAGCTTCTTATTTTTTCCTCATCTGCTGGATAGTGAGAGGAGGGCTTGAATCAATTTCAAGCCAAACAATAGGCCCAAGGCAATGGTGAGAAAATCCATCTCCATTTCTCTCTCTTTGGCATTTTTATTTCTTAAAGGCCTCGTGACACTCGCGTTGTTTATAAAAATGTAAGGATAATATCGATTGAGATTCGATACAAAAATGAGATGCATCATTGATTTGTTGGTGTAATTTTTTTGCAAACAATAAGGGTGTTGATCATATATTATTTGCTGCATGCCTTGTTAAAGAATTGCATTAACCCCAATGCGTAGCCCAATGATGACAAAAATGAATAGTAAATTAATTCAGATATTCAGAGTTCGAAATTTGACAATTTTCTTGAGATTAGGTTATGTGAAATTTTTAGTAAATTTTGATTAATTCCAAACATTCTTCATTTAATTTTTACATTAATTAGGCTATTATTTTGTTCCCATTGCAATTTTAAAATTCTAGTTTTCAAGGTTAATTAGGATATTGGCATTATAAATAACAAATTATGCAACAACCAATATGGCTAAGGTTTTCGTGCATATCTCCATGATGTTGATATGATGTAACTATCTAATAAAAAAAAATAAAAAAAATAGGATTCACTTCCTATTATCAAAGTGGTTATGTATTACATAAGTGAGTGATTATGAATTATTATGAGATTTACTTATAAAATTATTTATTTATTATTGAACAATTATACTATTCGACATTCTTGTTATACTGACCAAATTTAAAGCTCAAATAACATGACATCTGACATGAGCTTCTTTATTTGGTGTCATATCATTTGAGCCCTAATAAAGACTCTAAATAATATACTACTATATCATTTAAACTCTAAATTTTAACTCAAAATTTAATCGGCGTAACATCACCCTTCGATAATGTTACACTCAATATTTTTTCCTCCACGAGGGACAACCAAGCACGGTAAGCACATCCAATATAGGACAAACCAATGAGAATCTTACGCATCAGATCCAATTAATTCAGACAAGTAAGCAAAAACATTCACCGGAGAGTCATTAAGTACAGTAACTATCCCTATCCTGGGTTATATAAACTATGCCCAGGATATGGAGGAACATTCAACTTGGTGTACAAGAGAAAATGGCGACCAACCACCAGCCAAAACATTTTGTTGCAGTTCATGGTTCATGCCAAGGAGCTTGGATCTACTATAAGCTTAAAACCCTTATAGAGATCGCCGGCCATCGTTTCACGTCGGTCGACCTCGCCGCCTCCGGGATCAACGAGAAGAAGCTGAATGAGGTTCGGACCCTACATGACTACACTTTGCCGTTGTTGGATGTTTTGGCATCAATTCCTGAGGGTGAGAAGGTGATACTTTTAGGCCACAGTGGTGGTGGCATGAGCGCAGCTCTCGGGATGGAGAAGTTCCCGGAGAAAATATCAGTGGGTGTTTTCCTCGCTGCTATAATGCCGGACACAACACACGGTCCCTCCTATTTTTTGGAGGAGGTATATATATGTGCGACATTGTGAATAATACTTTCAAATCACTTTTTAATTCGTTTTGTTTCTATTAACTAAAGTGGCACAACCATAATCATCGACCTTAAGTGAAACTCAATGGTACCTATTGATTTGTTGTAAATCATTCAAACCAAAATAGATGGTTGCAGATGAAGTTTGTTTTTAATTATGTTCATTTTTTATTTCCCTTTCTGGTGGTAAGTATTGCAAGAGGATCCCAACAGAAGCGTGGTTAGACACTGGGTTTCCAACCTTTGGTAGCTCCGAACAACCTCTCACAGCTATGGTTTTTGGCCCCAAGTTCTTGTCATCCAGGCTCTACCAACTTTGCCCCATGGAAGTAAGCCATCTCTCTCTCTCTCTCTCTATCTATCTATCTATCTCTTCATGCATGCATATTCGTAATCACGCAAATGAATTTTCTTCTAGGATCTTACATTGGCAAAGACATTTGTGAGGCCTGGTTCGATATATCTAGAGGACTTGTCGACAGCACCAAAGTTCTCGAAGGAGAGGTACGGATCAGTTAAGCGAGTCTATATTGTATGCAAGGATGATCTTGCGATACCCGAGGAATTCCAGCGCTGGATGATTGAAATAGTCGGAGCGACGGAGGTGAAAGAAATCAAAGGCGCAGACCATATGGCAATGCTCTCAAAGCCAAAAGAACTCTCTCATTGCCTCTTAGAGATAGCCAAGAAGTACGATTAGCTTCTGTGAATCAAAAATCAAATTTACAGAGCCTCGTCTCTCTCAAGTCTCATCACCTTTGTTCTTCCTAGTGTGCATTGTCTTGTTAGCTTCAATAATGGTTTGGTAGATTTTTTTGCTTTGAGGTCATGGCAAGAGCCACGCGGT